GGGATTGATTATAATTGGTATATGGTTGAAGGTTGGGGGAGGAATTTTATAAGCTCAGGGAATTTTTTTAAAAAAGGGAAAATTGGATGACGGGATAATAGATTGGTATTTGGAAGTTATTGTTTACATACAATCACATTGGTATAGATTCTTGTATATTGATACAAAGTATTGAATATTGTATGCATGCTTCTACCTCTGTTTAAAACATTTTTTACGTATTTATATATATTTACCATATTGTAGTACACATTTCTACCTCTGATCAAGATACTTATACATTGTTTACATTTGGAGGTCATTGTCCTCATTTATTGTCATTGTTTATTGTCTTAGTCTTTAAGTGAGATAGGTATTAAGAATTATAGATCAATAGTCCTCTATGTTTGTCATACTTATAGTTAGACTAATCAGGTTCTTTAGATACATAGAGATTATATTCTGTATAGATAGATGATCTTCAACCACTTCAAGGATCTGTGAAACATGGAATTTAAATAACTTAGGGTTTTGTTGACATGAGACATGATTGCTCCTGGCAGCACCAATCTATTCCTGAGAGAATGTTGAGCACCAAAGACACTCCACTTAGAGCCTATTTCCTTCTTGGCAAAAACTGGCCTTTGGACAAAGAAATGCCCATGCCTCAACCACTGACAAGATATAGCATCCAGAAATGAATAAACAGGACTGTCAAATTTTGCCAAGACAGGGTAAGACAGCCACTGTGGAAATCAGTGTGGCAGTTTCTCAGGAAACTGGGAGTCAACCTCCCTCAGGACCCAGCAATTCCACTCTTGGGAATATACCCAAGAGATGCCCTATCATACTACAAAAACATTTGTTCAACTATGTTCATAGCAGCACTATTTGTAATAGCCAGAACATGGAAACAACCTAGGTGCCCCTCAATAGAAGAATGGTTAAAAAAGGTGTGGAACATATACACTTTAGAGTTTTACTCAGTGGTAAAAAACAATGACATCTTGAATTTTGCATGCAAATGGATGGAAATAGAAAACGCTTTACTGAGTGAGGTAAGCCAGACCCAACTGATACAAGGGGATGGATCTAATGAGAGTTTACCAAGGCCAGTTGGACTGCGACTGAACAAGGAAGTGATCCAACCAGATTCTCTGAATGTGGCCGGATTCTCTGAATGTGGCTGGCCCGGAGTCTTTCTGAAAAGCCATTGACAATGACACTGGGACTTGTTTCCTCTGCATATACTGGATTTTGGGGATCCAGTCTGTTTGGACACTCACCTTCCTGGACCTGGAGGGAGGGGGGAGGAACTTGAACTTCCCACAGGGCAAGAAACCCTGACTGCCCTTAGGGACGAAGAGGGAGGAGGAGAGAGAGTGGGGGGAGTGGGAGGGTGTTGGGAAGAGGGGCGTAAATGGAAACTTTTATAATTTAATAAAATTACTTTCAAAAAAAAAGAAAAAAAAAGAGGAACACGGTATGTATTCACTCATAAGTGGATTCTAACCATAATTAAAGGTCTTTGAGCCTATTATTCGTGATCCTAGAGAAGCTAAATAAGAAGATGAACTTGATGAAGATTATTTAGCTATCCGCCAGGAAGTAGGAAATAGTCAAGAGTCCCAGGTAACCTCAGGTGCATGGGGGGGGGGGTGGGAGGGTTATTGGAAAGGGAGAAGGTTAGAGAGAAGGGAGTAGGGGAGGAATGGGGAAAGCTCGGTTGACCGGGATGGGGGGGATGGAGGAAGGATGAATATGGGATCAGGGAAGAATATATTTCAACTAAGGGAGTCATTTTAGGGTTTACAGGTGACTTGATTATATATGGGATCCCAGGTCCAAGGTGAGATCCCCAGATTGTTCTTTGGACAGAGGAGAGGGTGCCTGAGCCGGCCTTGGCCCATAACCATACTGATGAATATTTTGCTTATCACCATAGATCCTTCATCTGGCGATGGATGGCGATACAGACGGAGACCCACATTGGAGCACCGGACTGAGCCACCCAAGGTCCAAATGAGGAGCAGAAGGACGAAGAAAATGAAAAAGGAAATAAGGACTGCGAGGGATGCTATCACCCACAGATGAACTTCGAATGGCCAAAAGACACTTAAGGTCATGCTCAACCTCCTTAGTGATCAGGGAAATGCAAATCAAAACCACTTTGAGATACCATCTTTCACCTGTCAGAATAGCTAAAGTCAAAAACACCAACGATAGCCTATGCTGGAGAGGATGTGGAGAGAGGGAAATTCTCATCCATTGTTGGTGGAAATGTAAACTTGTGCAGCCACTGTGGAAATCAGTGTGGCGGTTTCTCAGGAAACTGGGAGTCAACCTCCCTCAGGACCCAGCAATTCCACTCTTGGGAATATACCCTAGAGATTCCCTAACATACTACAAAAGCATTTGTTCAACTATGTTCATAGCAGCACTATTTGTAATAGCCAGAACCTGGATGATTGTAATTCTAATCTTATACTTAACATCTGTTCCTAGTGTATATTGTTTTGTATTGGGTTTAGAACTCTTACTTAAAAGGGGGAGGTACTGCGGGAGCTCCTTCTGCTCCTTCAGCCAATAGCCTTTAAGATACCAGCCCACTTGGGTGTGGTCTCGTTTGCTTTAAAAAACAGCTGTAGCCGTGTGTGTGTGTGTGTGTGTGTGTGTGTGTGTGTGTGTGTGTGTGCGCACGCGCTCTCTCTCTCTCTCTCTCTTGCTTCCAGCTCCTAGACTCCTTTCCTGATCGCACAGAGGGCTGTTGTCTGGGACGATGATCTGTAAGTTTTTTCCCTTTAATAAATAACCGTTTTATTAATCATAATTCCAAACTGGTGTGGGATTGTGACTTACGCCTTCAGGTAGGGGTCTGAATTCAGGTTCTCATGCTTGCAAGTAGTGCTCTCGCTGCTCAACCATATCCTCAACCTTATCTTGAGAAAATGCACATCCTCAGATTATGCTAAACACGGGAAGAAACTGAGGCCAGCTATGCACCAAACAGTGGCAGTTCTCTCGGAGGCACTTTATGAAATTTTATTTGTATTTATGACCTGAGTCCAGAGTGAACTAGATCTCTGTGGGCCTTGCCTTGGGGAGGAATGCTGGGAAATGAAATACTTCCCTTCCATCAAACAGCACATAGGATTAATACTGTTTGCTTTCTCATGTTGTGCTTTCACGCCCACTGAGCCAGACTGTTCCCTCAACTGTCCCCAACCCCAACATTTTGTTAAGAGTGACCCCAGAGAAGTTCCATGACCAGCAGACTAGGTAGCTTTCATTTTGGACCATTTCAGCTGTTTGTCAGGTTTCCTCCCTGGAACATAAGACACTCCTGTTTTGTTAGCAGCTGGCAGTTTTCCCCATTTTATCATCTTTGCCATCTAACTGCTTATTTTATGGGCTTCCTGTTGCAGGTTCAACCCTAGGAAGTTACCAGAGGAGTCTACCTTGGGTGCTGCCAGACACAGGCGCAAAGATGGACAGCAGAGTGACTTGCGCCACTCTTCAATAGTTGGCATCCAACTGCGTTTGCCCTACACTCAGTATGTGGTCTTTTGAGGGCATGCAGGGAAGAAGAGAAGTCAATGTTTTTGGGAATAGTTGGTCCACGTGTGCTGGCTGCTTTAATATCAAGTTGACATGAGCGAGAATCATTTTGGAAGAGGTATCTTTAGTTGAGAAAATGTCCCCAACCAGATGGGCCTGTGGTGGAGTTTTTTCCCCCCTTTACTTTCTTTTCTGAGACAGCCCTGGCTGTCCTTGAACATGCCAAGTAGACCAGGCTGGCCTTTTAATTATAAATTTACTTGTTCCCCGCCCCCCAAGTACTGAGGCTGAGGGCATGCACCAGCAAGCCCAACTTAAATGTAGTGCATTTTCTTAGAGATGGATGCAGGAGGGCCAAACCATTGTGGTGGGTGCTGTAAGAAAAACAGGCTGCGAAGGACAGTAAGCAGCGTTCCTCCAAGGTCTCTGCTTCAGTTCCCTAACTCCAAGCTCCTGCCTCGATTTCCTTTGACAGACTAAAACCTGAGAGCTACAAACAAGCCAGAATAAACCCTTTCCTCATAGTGTTAACACAGCACTAGAGACCTTAACTAAGATGACACGTGAATACAGACAGTATTGTTCAGAAGCCCAAAGGGAGAGCGCACTAAATCCAAATGTCTACTGGACATCTGCTAACCACTCCAGGGTTAGTTCTGTTTGCCTGCATTTAGTCTTTCCAGGAGTGTTTCCTAACTTTGTGCTTCAAAATGAACGCAACTCTCTAATTTTATTGACTCTCCAAAATACCAGAAGCTTCATACTGAACATAGTTACTGCTGTAAGGCTGTCAGAGCTGACAAGGCCTGGCTCTACCCCAATCAAGGGTGTAAAAGACCCTTGGCAGGGCACTGCAGTCTCAGTATCACGTACTCTAGGTGTGCCCAAATTTATTTCTTGTATCCAGCTTCCTAACACCACGGTGAAGACAAAGCTGTCAGTCTTTAAACACTAAACTAAGAGCTAAATATTTTTATATTATTGTCATAGCTTCCAGCACAGTTGTTACCCAGTCTCGTGGCGATCACTGGCCATTTCAGAACCTGGCCTTTTTTAATGACTCACGCATGCCTTTGCACCTCTATCAGAGAAGTGGAGTCAGTAACTGCAAATGAATGGAAGTCAGTGCTGAAGACAAACCCTCTCCCTGGTCAGCTGAAACCCACACTTGAAAGGGCTGCTGTGTTTGGGCTATCTGATCTTTATTGTCCCTTCCTCTCAACTCTCCCCAGCTGATACCAAAGACAACTGTGGATCTGAAACCACCAACCCTCTAAATGTAAGGAAGATAAATGGAACACATACACTGGCCAGCAATAATGCTGTAAAGTTAAAGTGTAATGGAGAGAGATGACTGGGCCAGCTCCAGCAGACGACAGGCTACCATTTTGTCAGACTGCTCATTTCTGGGCCTTGGGATTAGGGTTAGTCCTCAAATTTAAAAAATTGACTGCTTACACTTGTCAACGTTAACTTCCTTTCATAATTTACTCAACTGGAAAAGTATTCTATAACAAAATGTATACAATTCAGTATTGTACAAAACATGGATTTAGCAAGATGACATTGGTTACAGTCACCAGCATGAACACTCCATACTTTTCACTGCCACTTCCATGACAAGCTCAGGTAAATAAAATGTTACTGGCTAAAAAGTCACAAGAGGAGCAATGTGAAACTTCACATACAACAGCAAAGTCGATCTTCCACAGTAATACTGACATACAATCACTAAGAGGCTCCCATGATGCCGCTGCACGCTTGGAATGTCTTTCAGAGTCCACAAGATGTCATTTCCCAAGACTGAACTTGAAGCATTAGATAGAATACAAAATAAGGAGCTCTTTATTATTCTTTATACAAAACCAGTACATTAAAAAAAAAAATTGAGATTCAACTCTGCTGACCCCCTGAGGAAGTTAAGAGCTTTTCTGGGTCCATCAAAGGAGCCCGTAAATTATTCAGTCACCAAGCTCCTGGCCACAGGAACAAGGCACACAGCTCCAGGGCCATTCATGTGGCTCCATCATTGGCTCTGTAAGCTGACTTTCCCTTCATTAGGCTTGGCAAGCAAGCCAGAGTTTCCTGGACAATGCTAAAGAGCACTGTCTTCTCTGGCCCAAGCTAGAGTATTTTATCAGTGTAAAGTTGAGTTCTTTTATTTCTTAAAACACTTTCAATAAACTCCTAGCATAAGACACTTTATTACAACATATACAGATTTGATAGTTTACCAAAAAAAATCTAGAATTCAGCTAAATAAGTTAAAATGTCTCTAAAGAAAGCTGACTTAGAGAAATGGTCGTTTTCTTTTAAAACCATGTTCCCACACTCTGAGAGGTCCAACTTGTTTGTCCCTTGTCTAAGTAACACCGAGAGCTCTGCTATCATTAGTGCAATGCGTGGCACTTTCCTAAAGCCTGACGCTAAGACATGCAGTGGCCCAGTTGGCAAAAATCTAGACAAGAGGCCTCTCTGAACAAAGACCTGCAGAAATAAATGCAGTGACTGTTTTCTTCATCGAGAACGATTTAGCACTGCTTAGCACATTGTTCTGTAGTTTGAGAATAAAAGTAATTCTTCCCATGAAGAAGTAGGTCCCCTTCTGAAGAATATGTTGTTTACCCCCAAAATCAATAGACCAGCACCAAATGAATTATTAGTTTACAAAAAATAAACTTAGATTACAAAGTTCTATAACTCAGACTAAATAAATATAAAATCAGAAGTTCTGTCAGCTACAGTATAATTTAAAACTCCGGGTTTAGCCCACTTGGAGAGGCCAGTCTCACACTGATCACCATCAACTCCATCACTTCATCAAAACACCTTTTCCAGCTTGTGGGGCTTTCAGAAACGAGCTGCAGATCACACCTGTGCTGCTCAGAGCACGACATCCACAGGAGATCTTTCCAGAAGACAGCATGGCAAGACACACTGTTTCCTGATCTGAGGAGTCGGTGCAAAAGACCTCAGATGTCTCTGAAAGAGCCAGAAACCAAGCAGGCATCTCACTGATCACGTCCATTCATCTTCCACAAGACACTGCATTGAGATTTTTAATTCACAGATTTCATGTTAGTCCTTGAGACCCCAATGCCCGTCTTTTAGTTCAGTACTGCCAGGCTGCTCAAGCTGCCTTCTTGGTGCATGTTCCTTGTAGATCTTGTAAATTTATCTTCGATCTAAGTCAGAAAAAGACAAAGTAGTAAAACAGAAAACGTCAGTAATGAAAACTTGGGGGTTGGTGGTGCATGTGGGGGACCGGCGGGGCAGAAGACAACACTCGATGTCATCCCTCTGGGGCCACCCATCCTTTGAGAGAAGGCCTGGAACTCGCCCATGTGCAGTGAGCCCACAGGACCTGCCTCTCTCCCCTGCCCACAGTTTGCACTTTAAGCTCATGCCATTATACCTGGTTGCTTTGTTTGAAAAATTTGGATTTCAGAAATGCCCAAACATTTTAGTGGTACTTCCCAGACCAGACTGTCGAACTTTAACTGGGAAAATTTCTTATGTCTAGAAGTCTTACCTGTTGTGAACCATGTGACTTCTGACAAGATGTCCTGCTGCCAATGCTGCCATCAAGGACAACTCCCCAGCCATTACAGTACCACACACAATTCGGGCAAGCTGCCGTGCGTTTTCTCCAGGATTGTCTTTGCATGCTCCTTGAACACCTAACATCTGTAATCAGAGACCAAGACATCAGACTACAACTAGACTCCATCAGAAGTGGTAGCCAGGTCAGGCCAGACAGCTGAGATTGACATAGAATGGAACTAACATCCACACAGCTGACTGGCACTATGCACTTACTTGCTTAATTAATCTCACGATGAGACACATGCACCAAACCATGTATATGTATTTGTGCTATGTATATATATACATATATATACACACATACACACACACACATATATATATTTAGACAAATTTGGACATACTAGGCTAGACTGGTAGAAAGCAAGGGTGAAAAAGATCAGCTAAAATACAGGGTGATGTGGTGTCAGACACGTATTATCCCTGGTGTGACGGTCAAACTTGGGTAACAACTTGATGCATCTAGGAAGAGGGAACCTCAAGTGGTAAGCGGCCTCTAGCAGTGGCCTGTGTGCATGCCCATAGGGTATTTTCTTGACTGCTAACTGATGAAGAACCACATGAAAGAACTGTAGCTGAATGAGAGGCTAGGAACAAGCCAGGCAGCAGCACTCCACTGTGGTCTCTACTGTCTCCAGATTCCTGCCGTAACTCCCCTCAGTACTAAATCTCTACCTAAATGCTTAAGTTGAAAGGAATCCGATCTTTCCCAAGTTTGTTTTAGTCATTAAGCAGCAGAAAATAAACAACAACAACTGGGAGTCAGAGCCAGGCCTGAGGCCACTATGTTGTGTGCCAGACACATACCTGCAGGCAGGCTTGTTGAGGTAGGAGGTTGGTCCCACCACCCACGGTTCCTATCTCTATAGACGGCATGGTGCAGCTGATATACAAGTCTTCATTCGTGGGACCACTCGCTTCCATTAAAGTAATACAGTTTGAACTGCCCACATTCTGCGCTGCATCCTGGAGAGGGAAGAGGAAAAATGCAGTACAGTTCTTTCACTGAGAACCACAGAGCAGAAAGCAAAGTGGGAACCGGCAAGCTCACCTGGCCACATGCAATGTAGATAGCAGTGACGATGTTTGCTGCATGGGCATTGTAGCCTCCTATGCTCCCAGCCATGGCAGAACCCACAAGATTCTTGTTAATATTGACGTCAATCATAGCTTCTGTCGTCGTCTTTAATACCTAGACCACAGTGTGCATATTTTACATACTCCTCCAGGAGAATCAAGCAAGACACTTATCTATTTCTCTGTACTTCTAGGAAGCAGGGGTGTAGATGTGACCCTATTTAGCTGTCCCAGGAGTGACACATATGCAGATGGGCATGAAAAATAAAAAAACAATTTTAACGGAAAGCAAAACCCTACAAATGTAATCTTACTAAAGGTGTTAGTACTCTTTTATTATTTATTATTTTTAAAACCTTCTTTCAGTCATGCTTGCCCAGAACTCCCGATGTAGCCCACACTGGCCTCAGACTTGCAGGGATCCTCTGCCCGTCTCCCTGGAACTGGGTTATAGCTTTGGGTCACCACAGCTGGTCTCAACCCAATTAACGACACTACCACTTTAAAGTAGGATAACATTCCTCCATCACTTACTTCTCTCACCACCTTGGCGGGAATGACAGCTTCACACACAACTGTCTTTCCTCTTCCTTCGATCCAGTTTATGGCAGCAGGTTTCTTGTCGGTGCAATAGTTACCACTAACTGCCAGGATCTGCATCTCAGGAAAGAACTCCTGAAGCTTCAAAAGCGCTTTCTCCGTGCCCTAGGAAGAAGCAAGACAATGTGTGTGATAGAATCACCATTCTGACCACAGTAACTACTTCAATGCAGTCATTCAGTACATTCAAGACATGGAGCTAATGTCCAGACCTCTACCTGATAAGCTAATGACCTGCAGCCCATTAAGACAATCACCCAAAACATGCCCTGCTAGCCCGACACCTAATGGTGGCCACAACCCTGATGACTCTGGTCAGCTCATGTAAGTACAACTGCATTTCTAACTGGCAATTTCACTTAGAATAATGTCTACACGAACACATCTCTTCCTCATGCACTACCCAATGAACGCTTAGGCCACTCTGCCCACTGACTAGTACAGCAAATGCCACTGTGACCACGAGTGTACTAACACCTCTTTGAGGCTGTGCTTTACTGGAAGCTGACACAGCAATTTTACTTGCAAACTGGTGAGGAACCACCATACTATTTATTGAGAATTTAAAAAACGTAGACATTTATTATTTTCCTCTTTCTGAATAAACTTTATAAACAAAACCTGTTATCAGCAAAATAAAGTGTACACCACACAAAAATGAATGGATCATACAAACAAACCAGATATGTTATATATCTTAAAGTGTTTCTGAGCATGCTAATCATGGCTGTAATCTCAGCAAGTCGAGTCAGACACAGGAAAACTGATCATGAGTTGCTGGTCACCATGGCCCACATAATGTGCTCCAGGCCAGCCAAGGGTATAATGAGACCTTGCCACAAAGAAGGAGGAGGAAGAGGGGGAAGAGGGGGAAGAGGGGGAAGAGGGGGAAGAAGGAAGAGGAGGAGGAGGAGGAGGAGGAGGAGGAGGAGGAGGAGGAGGAGGAGGAAGAAGAAGAAGAAGAAGAAGAAGAAGAAGAAGAAGAAGAAGAAGAAGGAAGAAGAAGAAGAAGAAGGAGGAAGAAGGAGGAGAAGGAGGAGGAGGAGGAGGAGGAGGAGGAGGAGGAAGAGAAGAAGAAGGAGGAGGAGGAGGAGGAGGAAGAGAAGAAGGAGGAGAAGGAGGAGGAGGAGGAAGAAGAGGAAGAAGAAGAAGAAGAAGAAGAAGAAGAAGAAGAAGAAGAAGAAGAAGAAGAAGAAAAGAAAAGGTCTCTAGAAAATGTCAGTTGCAAGATTTGAGGACAAAGCTCTTTGGGATGGCTGGGGCATGCTTAGAACTGACCCGGAGTCCCACATACTGACCTGTACTGAGCTAAAAACCCTGGTCCCACTCCTCATTGGGAAGGTGAATTACTGGAGAAAATTCTCAAGTGCTATGAACAGATCCCTCCCAACCCTTGTTAAGTACATTTACAACAGAGTGTCAAATCTAAAACAATGCGACTAGGCAGACAACTGGGCAGTTTAGGACCCCAGCTGTTCTTCCTGAGGACCTAGGTCCAAGTCCCAACACCTACTGATGGCTCTCAACTGTATGGAACTCCAATTCCAGAGGGATCTGATGTTCTGTTCTGGCCTCTGTGGACACCAGACACAGAAGTGGAGTATAGACATAAATGCAGGCAAAACATTCATATTTATTAAAAAAAATTAAAAAAAGGCAAATAGAAAGCACCATAAAACCAAGTTATATCAGGCAATGTTAAGATTTAAGTAAACATGTGAAATAAATTAACTCTTTTTATGGATGTTATATATGGACACAGTGCACCAACAAAAATGGCTGGATGTAGACCAGAGTAATCCCAGCACCCAGGAGAGCAGAGGCACACGAATCACCCTGAGATCAAGGCCACACGGCCAGCTCCGGATGTGCCCATCCTGAACCCTCCAGACCCGGTGCTCCGTGCTCACCTTGGAAATCATGTTCATCCCCATGGCGTCCCCCGTCTTGGACTGGAAGCGGATATACAGGTTGCGTCCTGCCATGGTCACATGAAGTTTCTCCAGACGTGCAAACCTGCAAATACAAGGTTTCTATTCTAATCCAAGGTAAGAATTTTTTTTTTCTTTTTTAAGACAAGTTTCTCTGACTGTCCTGGAACTTGCTTGGTAGACCAGGCTGGCTTTGAAATGCCAATATCTGCCACTTGAGTGCTGGGATTAAAGGCATGTGTCACCACTGCCCGCCAGAAATTTTATTTTAAATCTACTTTAGTATGGAGAAATTTTTCTTTAGAGAAATTAAGGCTAGTCAGCTGAGTCTTTTTCTCTGTCACTGACTAAAAGGTGGACTAGCCTCTTAAAACCCTTAAGTCCAAATAAGAGCAAACACACTGGCTTGGACTCTACAGGAGCTGGCATCTACTGCTATGCTGCTGTGTGACTTTAATGGTCTTCATTCAGAGCAAACCCATAACCACACTAACACTCCCATTCTGCCGAGAAACTCCTTCTAGGAGTCTAGGGTAACAGTCTAATCAAATGCATTAGCTCCTATCTTTTAATTTACTATCGCTGCCTGTGAGTGGGAACAAGGAACCGAACTTGGGCCATCAGGTTCACACAGTGAGTGTTTTTTCTTGCTGAGCCATCTCACCAAGCTTTAAAAAACCAATTTATTCCTATGGGGTAATTCATATGAATCAATACTCACCCTAAGCAAGAATAATTCCTGAAGGAATGGATACAGGACAGGGCTACACTATCATAAGCAGGCAACACATCAACAAGTAGCTTTAGCTATCATTGTTTTATACTGTATATAATTTCCATACGAGCCCCCACACACCTGCTGGTGCTATCGAAGGCCTCCTTTACCACTGTGAACCCTTCAGGTGTCTCGAGCCAGGCCTTCACTTCTGCAGAGTCACAAGCACGAGGAAGACGCACCACTGGGCCTCGGGTCATCCCATCTGCAAGGACTCGGCTGCTGGCACCTCCACCAAGCTAAGATGAGGATTATGAGAAATATTAATACAGAAAACACTTCAGCCTCTTTCAAAGCCCTTGACTGTCCCCCAAATCTGTCTTGGCTTCCTTACCCTGCCCAGTTCGTCTTATACCTTAAAGTAAACAAATTCCAACTTACACCTATTGCTCTGCAGCCTCGGTTGGTGCTGGCCACAAGACAGCCTTCTGTTGTTGCCATTGGAACCTGGTACTCTTTCCCATCCAGGCAGAGAGGCCCTGCCACTCCGACGGGGATGGGCATATAGCCAATTACATTCTCACAGCAAGCTCCCATCACCTAAGAAACACAGGTGGGCAGCACATGAAAACCTACATCGTAATGTTAACAGCTCATCTCATCCCTATCGCCAACAATTCTTCACTTAATCCTATAAAATATTCCAACAATATTTTTAATGTATTCTTTATGTCATTATGATGCTGGGATCAAACCCAGGGCCCCACCAATGTTAGGCAAACATTCTATCACTAGGCCCAATCCCACCCCAAATTTCCTCTTTAAAAATATTTAAACTGGTTGGGCGTGGTGGTGTACACCTTTAATCCCAGCAAGAGACAGAGACAGGCAGATCTCTGAGTTTGAGGCCAGCCTGGTCTACAGGGAGAAGTTCCAAAACAGTCAGGGCTCCACAGAGAAACTCTCTCGAAAAACAAAATCTTTAGAAACTGTTGGATTCTCCCAGCAATGACAACAAAAACATGAAAAACATTTAAAAAGTAACAGTGGAAGGTCAAGTTACAAAGCAAGCCCTCTTAAATCAATCAAATAACATACCAGAGAGTAATTATAATCTCTGTAAGGCAGGTACTGCAGAGAAGAAGGCTCTGGAAGCTTTGTGGATAGGAGCTGCCGGCGAATAGACACACCACGTTCATGAGTTTCCATTAGAGTTTCCAATTTGTAGGCCGGGATGTGCTTGGCATTGACCAGCTGGATGATCTCTGCATCACTAAGGAACTTCGCACCTTTCTGAAGAGATGGGAAATGTGAGGGAGATGACAGCAAAGTCAAGAACTGCAGTTCACAAGCCAAAGACAAAGAAGCTGAAAGTCCACAGTGCAGAGTTGCTCAGATGACAATACCGTAGGGATCAACCTTACTGCCCCACTCCCCTCAGAAGAAAGCAGCACCAGAACAGAACCTTGCCCTCAGTCCAGCTCCCCTGCACTGCTGTGGGTCTGCCCACACTGTAAACTTATATGTTCATGGACTGATCAATAAAAGCCAATCAATACATTATTTGCTACAATGACATAGGCAATATATATATTATATGTTAATATATTTTGTGTACAAGCTGTGGCCCTTAAATAGTTGAGGATACCAACACTCAAGAGAGTTAAAGCACAAGAACAGAAAGAGGAAAACTCAAAAGGCTTGGGTTTGTAAGGAGGGGGATGAAATGTCAAGGAAAGTCTGGGCAATGGCTCAGCAGGTAAAGAACTTGCTGTGCAGCCTGAGCCTGAGTTCAGATCCCAGCCCCCATACAGAAGTCAGTCACAGTGGCTCCATCCGCAATCCCTGAGTTCAGATCCCAGCCCCCACACTGGCTCCATCTGCAATCCCAGCACGGGCAGGAGGAAAACAGGCACATGCTGGTGGTTTGCTGTGTCCAGTTTAGCTAAAATGGCAAGTTCCATGTTCAGTGACAGACCCTGTCTCACAAATCCAGGTGAAGTCAGGAGGTTATTACACATCTTTAAGCTGCACTCAGGAGGCAGAGGCAGGTGGATCTCTGTGAGTTCCAAGGCAGCCATAAATATATAGTAAGACCTTGTCTCAGAAACAAAACAGACAAAACGATGGTGGAAAGAGACTGAGAGAGGCATGCAGTGTCACCAATCTTTACTCTCCCTACCCACATCATTAAACATCAAAATTGTAAGATTTTATAAAAACTAAACAAAAAACCCCAAAAATGTTCACAAATAAATAAATAAGTAAAAATAAAATAAAGTAAAACCCACACGTATGATCCTGTTAAAACAGCATGGCAATGAGGACTGGCTATTGACACACAACTTGGGATTTCTCTAAGGTGCTGGGAGGCCTCACACACAAGCTAAACAAGAACAACTGAGCTACATTCCTAGCCTAGGCACTGGCACATGTAAAACAAACACACCAGAGGCTGATACAGAAGTCAGACAGGAACTTCTGAAGGGGAAATGCTTCATGCTCTCAGACGTGGACGGCACAGCAGACTTATCGAGGAACAGAAACGATGGTCACCAATAGCCAGGAAGAAAGGAATGGGATGTTATCCAAATACTGGAGTCAAATCTCAGTTACACAGGCTGATTAAGTTCTCAATAGATAGTAGATGACGAATATTAGCTTGAGAGTGTTAATTATTCAAAAAGAAGCTGTGCATTTTAAATACTTCTGATTTCCTTTGTCAATTATCTTAATAAAGTGAGGGTACAATGGAACTATATTTTGTCAAACATGAAAAAAAGATTTTTGAGAGGTCTTACTATGTTGCACTGTGCAGACCAGGAAAACATATTCTTTATACAAAAAGAGTTAGTCAGACTAAGCAGACACAGCTTAAGTATGAATGGCCATATATAAATGTGGAGGTATAACATGGTCAAAGCTGCAGGAGGAAAAGCTAGCTGCCTGGTGAGATCAAAAAGCACAAAACAAAGCTTTGCTCTGTGCAGCCCAACCATGTTCCAACACAGATGAGGGTACAAAAGCTCCTCATCTCTAGGATAAACAGGAATGCACCACAAAGAGTTTTGATTTTGGAACCAGAAATTTTCAGGCCCTGTTCCTAACCTTACAGTTTCCCCAATAGTAAACATCCTGGGATATTACTAAAGCCCCCTGAATCTGGGCTGCTCATCTGAAAGATGGAGAAAATCCCCCAAAGGCTGTAGGGCTAATACAATTGTTGATAGGGCACATAACACAACGGGCTCCATCCAGTAGTACTGGGTTTTACTTTCTTTGATTAAAAAAGGTAAAAACAACCCCCCCCTTAGAGAAAGCCAAGTGGGTGCGCACCCCTCACCTCAGCACTCTCCAGTATCTGTAGGCATTCTTCAGTAGGCCGAGGCTCGCTGGGGAGGTCAATTTCAGGCTCCTGTGTTCCCAGGGCCACTGGAGGTCTGGCTACAGAAGCGCCAAGCACAAACGTAGCTCTGCTTGCACTCTCAGCTTCCACCACTAATGGTTTTATAACCTCAACTGTGAGAGGCAAAAAGACATCTCAAAACCCTGTAATCACTTTCAAACTCAGTTTGAGGGTTCATGCTTGGACAGGAGGAACAGAAATGAAGAGAACAGGAAAGTACCTTTTCTATCCTGGTTCGCTCCTGGCTCCTCCTCCACAGATGCAAGCTTCTGGTTCTTTCTCACAAGCAGAGGCTCACGTCTGCAACAGTTGTCTTGAGCTTTCTTTGGGGTCACGACAGGAGACGTGATAGGATTTTTTAATGAGAGCGTTGATTCTGTCTCCGCTTGTTCAAAGAAAATGTACTTGACAGCCAACAGGAGAGCTAAACTCAGGGTAATCACTTGTTCAATGTCCATGCTGATCATCCTGAATGAAAGCAAACATTAACATGTCAGTTCAGAAATATGAACGTCAAAGCACAGCTTGCTAGAGCACAGAATACTGTGGGTTTCACTCAACTTACTTGGAGAGATAAAACTGCCAGAGAGAAACACTTGGCTCAATTCTCTTGGACACATCCTCATCCAGTCCCAAGGAGACCTTGGAATGTTCTGCTGTACTGTTCTGAGGCGAAGGGTCAGCTATCCAGCGACTGTGAGCGTGAACAAGAACCAAGCCTAAAGACTGAAGAAACACATCTTCAGTTGTACAGCCTCTGCTTTCTTGTCCCTCACAAGCCCAGACTAGACACTTTCTTCCTTGGCCTCACCTTATCACGATAAGAAAGCCCCCAGTTTGTTATGTGGCTAATAAAAGCAGTGTTCCCATCACTGCTCAGTCATTCCAAAGAACAGGCTTTCAGGGGCTAGAGAGGTGGCTCAGTGGTTAAGAGCACTGCCTGCTCTTAAAGAGGTCCTGAGTTCAATTCCCAGCAACCACATGGTGGTTCACAACCATCTGTAGTAAGATCTGGTGCCTTCTTCTGGCACGCTGGTATACATGCAAGCAGAACACTGTACACATAATAAACTAATCTTTTTTTCTTTTTTTTAAAAATGGCTTTCAAAAATCTATGTAGGAGAGCAAGAATAAGAAAGATCAAAAGGCCTAAAGGGGCATAGTGGCATTCACCTGGAATCCCCACACTCAGGAGGCTTAGGCAGGAGGATTTCAAGTTTAAAGCCAGCTAGTGATATCTTGTCTTAAAACTTCAAAGAAAAAAAGAGTAAATTCAGAGTAAAGAGAGGACACTGGAATACCACTGAAATGGCCAAATATTAAGTAAACATGACAGGAAACTAAAAACAAGCAAAAGTCCTCAAATACCCAAAGCATAAGAAACACTGAAACTACGGATACTGGAAAAGAAAAAATGCCATTACCATAATCATCTTGACCCTTTGGGTTACAGGGTTTGGTTTATTCTCCTCTTCTTCCAAAACTCGGGCAAAGTGGCTGAGCTGCCAAATTGGATGACCTTCGCGGCTTTCCCGAGAAAGCTACAAAGTAAACCAGCATTGCATTAGGAGGTATACAGTCAATTTAGGTGGGGTGACAGAATGAGAAGCAATACTCTTCTAAACTAATGTCACCAGGAAAACCATTCTTACCTCTAGGACCAGGGACACACAGGCTGGGAAGAATGTCATGAACACGAAGTAGTTGGCAAGCACAGACATGCAGCCAAAGCAACACATGATTTCAAGCTGGCGCACCCCTGCTTGGAGAAAATGAAACACACAGCTAGTGAAGTGTGGGTCTCTGACACACCATTTATCTTAAAGCTCTTCCCACAGGTAGACAAATCGGGCAAGTCTTACTACATCAAGTCCTTTGTCATTTACTGGAAATTAGCAACTCAATGATGACGCTAAGGCTTCAGGCACAGCAGTTATGAAACTCTTAATCCCTCAAAGACACAGACCAAGACTTCTCCCATGTCTCCAACATTACAATGCCACACATAATGCTAGTGCTCAATGCATCTTGCCAACAAATGTGATTCCAATTCTTTTATAAAATGGAATCACTAAATGAGCCAAAGAGCTAGAGGACCAGCTCCTCTACAGGAGTAACTTCACGCCTTCAATATAGACTCACTTATTATCACAAAAGCACCTTCATACACAGGGCAATTTGTCAAAGGATGTATCAATAAGCAGTTATGCCTTCCTGACGTGGTATCTAAGTAAATATCCCTTGTATGACCTAAGTTCAAATCCCTATAACCCTTCAGTGACTACTGATATCCTAACAGTTTCATTTCACTGACCTGCCTGAAAATGGTAAGGTGAAAAATGTTAAGAAATCAAGATTGAAAATTAACAAGTATCTCACCACAAAGTGTTTCAGAAGTCATTTGGTAATGTCAAATATTAAGTACCATAACTATAGAGGCCAGAAAGGAAATTAAGACCACCAACTCCTACTCTTCCACTCAAATTAAAATAAAAATTTACACTGAATATAACAACTGCCTTTTCTAACAAAAGTGAATAAGAAAAGCGAACTAATAATAATGCTTTTCACAAATTAATCATCAACTAAACTTTTTTTTCTAAACTCATGTAATTATCATTCTTCCTTACTGTTCCAAGAAGTCTGTCTTTCTGCCACTTTGGTACTACACAAGGAGACAGCAGCAGTCCAAAGATGTCGAAAGGCTGTGAATGTTGCGTCTGTGTGCTAGGAATTGGATCTTCCCATATACAAGTACACACAACCACTGAGGTACACCTAGCCTGACCTTTTTCTTTCGTACTGGCTTTTCTGAAGTGTTACTGCTAGGCATGGGCCTAACTGAGTGGTAGAACGTCTCCCAAGCATGGGAAGCTCTGGTTTAGTCCCCTGCACTGTAAAAAGGGTGGCAGTGGAGCTACTTCCTCATTTAAGACACACCCCTATTTCCACACGGATATAAACGTCCTCAGTGTTCACTTCTCTAACCCCCTTCAAGACAAAGTATCAACCCTACTGCTTTCCACACTACATTCAAACAAGCCTTTGTTTCACGGCCTGTAATTTCCTGGTCTATCTTCAACATCGCATACACTCTTCTGCTTCAAAAAAATCAGGTAACTCACGCATTTTTACCTGATCAGCATTTGATTTTCGCAGTGGTGACATGATGGTATCTCCACTAAAACTCAAAATCAAACCTTTCAGGAGGTCAGGTTTTAAAGTGTGTGTGATGATGGGGGCGCATGTACCACGGCATGCGTGGAGGTCAGAGGACAGTATCAGCTATCTGTCCTGAGTCTGTTATTACAGACAGTCTCCTTGATGTTCACAGCTTCCACCAGACTAGCTGGACCCTGGATGGAAATTCTCTTTGACTCTGCCTCCCACCTATCACAGGAGCACCGAGAAGGCAGACGTGCTATCACGCCAGGTTTAAGTGAGTTCCCGAGGTCCCAACTCGGGCTCTCATGCTTGCACAGCGAGGGCTTTACCCTCTGAGCCATCTTCCTAGTTTCCAAGAAGTACATTTAAAGTATACAAAAATAATTTTGTGCTGCGGATTGAACCACTGAGCCACATTCCCAACAGTGGGCATGTAACTTTATAAGTACATGGTTTTTCTTTCTTGAATAAAAAAATTGTTGAGCAGCAACAATAAATATCTATCATTACTATCAGAAATTTAAAGACACATTACATATTTAATAAAATAATGAATACAAGACAACCAAACATCCCCCAAAGGTATATACTTAAGGGCTGGAGTGGTAGAGAGCTCAGCAGCCAAGACTGACTCTTGCTCTTGCAGAGGACTAGAGTTTGGTTCCCACCCACGTCAGACAGCTCACAGCCACCTCTAACTCCAGCTCCACGGGGCATGGATGGACACACACGCACACATGCATGCACATATATGGTTTTCATGAAAAAGCCATAGAATGGAGCTTAATGACCACGAAACTTCATAATAGCAAGATACAATTATTCTGGCAAATTTCCATGCTAGGCCATAGTTTTTATTGTACGTAATGGAGTTCTGTTTGGTATCAGTATTAATTCTCGAGTGTTCAATTAAGGATGAGGAAGCATGTTGAGACTGGTGCTGACATGCTAAGATGTACAGCTTAGTATCTAATTAAACCTTCTCAACCACCTGATTAGACGAACCTAATTCCTATCTGGACTTCTGCAACATCCAATGTGACAATTAAAATAAAGGAACCAAGTTATTAATTTAGTCTAGGCAACAGCAAGGGATTTTCAAAGCAGCTGTGGGATACAGTCTTAGTTATAACCCAGCCACAGGATGCACAATACCACGAAGTGGAACACAGAAAGAGAAGACAGAAGAGGAAAACATTAGTAACCTGATGCTCTATTTTTACCGCGCGCGCGCGCGCGCACACACACACACACACACACACACACACACACACACACAGGTCCATATACCCTCACACTAGTAGTATTTATAGCTCAAGTCATTTAAGTTAGAATTTAAGAAAAAACAAAGTAAATCCAAGACCTTCTACCTTCCCTTTAACGACCGACTTAATTGTAAGTGTATTAGAAAATGTTTACAAACCTGACATGGTGCCAACTCCAATTACAAGACATTCCACAAGAGCATCAAGGGTGAATGTGGGGCCCAGAATTGCCATTCCACGAGCTATATTTTCCCTTACTTCATCCTAAAGCAAAGAGCAAACACATCGGAGGATGGAAAGCATAACTTAATCCTTTACATGCTAGACAGCATCCTGCGTCCTACATTACGCTTATTTTACTACTCAAAGAACAGATGTGATATGATAGCATACATTCAAGGGCAAAATGGCGCAGTAGTACAATTCACCACACCATCAACACAAACATCTATTAGGACCCTGCTTCCCTTCTCACTGAGTGACAGACTTTTAAGGAATATTCCTTTGACGTGGTAGGTTAATCCGACCACTTAAATTCCACCTACTAATGTTTTATATTGTGGCTCCCATTGACAGAAGCTTACTTAAGAATTCGTTGAGGTCACATTAGTACAATAAAACCTAGATAATTTTCTTATCAAAATGTTCCAATGATCATAAGCCATCATCCAATACATAACTGAACCACAATTATGAGCTACTTCACAGCTTGGGCGAGGCCTGTAAAAGGTCCTAGGTTCAATGCCTGTCTCTGAAGGATAGTTATAAAAAGTCCTTATCTAAGCAGGACATGATGGTGTATGCCTGCAATCTCGGAGCTCAGCTGACCAAGGCAGGAGATCACTGCAATTCAGGATGGTCTGAGATACACAGAATCTGTCTCAAAAAGTACTGATACAAGGTTGTTAAACATGATGAAGCTTAAGAAGGGAGATGCTAACCTGAGGGGCTTAGAAACAAATGTGACTTAGACTCCTGGCACCAGATCTAATTTAATGTGAAATGCCTACCAAGGGCTCGTGTGTTTGAACAATTGGTCCCCAAGAAGTCGTGCTTCTTGGTAAGGGCAAGGATATGAAGCCTCATTGGAAAAAGTGGATCAGTGTGGGCCTTTTGGTTTCACAGCCTAGTCCAACCTCCTATGCACACTCGTCTCCCAGATGGAACCCAGTCCCGCTGGCATGCCTTCTCAACCATGACCAACTATATCCCCTGGGGCCATAAACCGAAAGAAACCCTTCTTTCTTAAACTGCTCTAAGCCAGGTATTTGGTCAGAACAATGAGAAAAGTAACCAAAACACTGACTCTATTCCCTAAGTGATTGATAGGTAGTTTCTATATCCAGGATGCTGCACTGTAATTCCAGGAGACTCTCAAAGGGAAAACGGGAAGTGAGTGAGACACTCACAAACCAGTCTTGGAACTTCAGTCTAAAAGCTTGAGGCAACTGTTATATTTTGAACAATGACAACATCTCATTAAGCAATACTCACCTGTGAGTTTGAACTCAGGGCAAACTTTGCTAGAGCACTTGCTCTGGACAGGTCAATCAAAAGCAGGAAAAAGGGCAAAGCTTCACTGGGGAAAAGAAATCAAGACAAGTCCCGTTTAATACAGGGAAAATACAGCTTTGGAACGCTCTTTACAGTAACCCTTCCCACACCACACACTTAGCATGACCATGCAGTCCCATATTTAATGCTAGGAGTCTTCGCAAGCCTCAAGACTAACAGATGCTCAAAATACTTGCTGAACTTTATTTTGTTTTACTTTTTTGAGACAAAGGCTAACCTCTAACTTCCTATGTTGCTGAAACTGGCCTTGAACCCTGGATCCTCTTGATTCCATCTCACAAGGGTTAGAATTACAGGCACTGCCATTATGCCCAGCTCAACTAATACCACTTCACCATGTTAAGATGTAAATGACCATAGAGACACCTGTCAATATTTTTCAGCAAAGCGTTATTCTAGTATAAAAATTACTTGAATTAACATTGAGAAAAATGTACAATATACAAATTGACGATAAGAGAACTAAAAATTTACCCCACCTCCCCCAAAGCAAGAGGCTTAAAAAAGTTTTTAAATAAGCAAACCCACAGTCACTCATGATACTCCAGAAATGAATTGCTAAGAGGTAACAGTGAGCATGAACAAAAAAAAGTCTATAAAGATATTCGCTGTCATATTTATGAAGAAAATCAATTAATCCAACATTAGATTAACAAACTACAAAACAGTGATATAGAAGAATACTATATAGCCAGCACAAATAACTTAATATTAAGAATATGAAAAGATGCAGATGAAGTACATCGGGCAAAAAAGACTTAAGACAGCATATATAGCATGACACTCAAAAAATGTCTAAAATAAATGGGACAGAATATTTATCAAATGCTAACAGTTAACTAGCTAACAGTGAGTCCATAAAAAATTTCCCATTTTCTAAACTTCTAAATTTACACATTACCTTTCTAACACAGGGAATAAAGGTTCTTGAAATGCATTTTAGAGAACACAGCCCTGAGCTTTAATACTTACTTTAAGCCCGTCAGTTCTTTGTCTAAGAAGTGAATGACGACTGTACTAAAGACAAAGCTTGAGAAAATTGTGAACAGCCCAGCAATACCTAAAATGGCAAAATTCAACACTCAGGACTCTTTATTACACAGATGCTAACATTCAGTCTCATTCAATATTCTGCTAAGAATATCACTTTTCTCTAGATTACTGAGGCCTCAAATCTGAGAATATTTACTGAGGAGACTCAAGGAACTACTAAATGTACCCAACACTCTGGTCAGCAAATCAAGCCTGACAGCATGCAAGGAAGAAAATCAGTCTTACCCAAAATATACTTGGAGCCGAGCTGCCGCAGGTTCTGGAACTGGAAGTAAATATAGAGGATGGCAATGCACCGCGTTATGGTGAGGATGATGATGTCGCTGCTCAGGACATCCTGCCGGCCAACAGAGAAAGCTCTCAGGAAGTACAAAAAAACCACCATCTTTATTCTGGGTCACTGGCTTACATATTATCACAAGAATATAAATGTCAGCATAGGACAACCAAATCAAACAGCCAACACAGAAATAAAAAATGGAAAGCAATTTTTAAACAGTCTGTATGTAATTCTTCACAATTCTTTTTCCCGATAGTCCTTACACAAATATATTTCTCAGAGGCAATTACACTCACTAATATTAAAAAACATTTTAAGTGCAACCCACACCATGTGAACAGCTGAGAATCTGAGTTAAGCCCACCAACAAAAACTTCACTCAGGAAGAACTCTTTCTGCTTGTATGTTCTCTAAAAAGGAGACATTCTTCAGAAATTGCAATGTAATTTACTTTAGTCAGAATCAAATCTCACTAACCTCTTCAAATTTTGGGCACTCATAATTCCAACCACAGATCTTGTTGTTGCCAGTAAACATGTTCATGGACATCATACAGATGGTAAGTGTCACCGTTCCCACAATAACTTCCCAGGGATGGGAGGCCACAAAGAGGCCATGCATGCGGAAGAGTCTTGACAACATTGTAGCTACACGGTCCTTGGATCCTGGAGGGAACACCACACATGAACACTTAGCATACAGCTCACCTTCAGCTAAATGAAAGGATGCCATTAGGCCGGTGTGCAGCATCTTTCAGATAGGAAATTGTTCCACATAATTCTGGGAAGTAATTGTAGTATCTATTAAAACGACTCTTGCTACTTCTTCAAACACTTAAACCTTTTATTACTCACTGACAACCAACTTATATGCAATTGTTTCTTTAAAAGTAAGGTTCAAGCATAACCCCTTGTAATTATGTGAGCCAAGAGGAACAGAATAAAGGACAAAGCAAACATGAGAGAAACAACTACACACATTTTCTAGTTAGTCAAAAAGAAAACCCATAAATACCCTCTTCACCATCCGCCTGCTTAAAGGTAACATCAAAGAATGTGCTTGTTGATTTCTTGCCATAAATCACAGTGATTTATACGCAAGATTCTGTTACATTATCTCATTCTATAAAACATAAGGTAGAATGTCACTGACACAATGTCTAATAAATTCTTGAAGATTGCTATTCCCAGAAGTCTTTTCTGATGTTTCTATGTTAGTAAAAAAGAGGGTCTGCATTTTGCTAGGACAGCTGCTTTTCTCTCAGCAAACTACAGGGCTAGAAGGCCAATTTAAAGGTGTTAGATGTGGAAGGCTCCTGAAGTTTTACAGCTAGCTGAGACAGATGGCTGGCTAAAATGTGTGTCCTGTCCCTATCAAATACAAAGGGGTGAAATTATAGCTCAGGGGAAAGGTCCTCTGCTGGACAAAACACAAAACAATCTTAACAACTTCTTGTCTGACAAAAAGATTCTCAATAGAATAAATAATAGCAAGAAAATCCAAGCTAATGACTACCACTCTTCCCACATCTGCTGGCCAATTAATAATTTTGACATTCCTATTTGAAGAGTCACCTTGCAAAACCACTGTTGGCCAACAGAGATACTTGTACGCTTCAGTTCTTACAGAAAATCTAATGAAGAGTATTACCCATTAAAATCAATCATGATTAAGAAGTAAAAACTAGGGCCTGTGAGATGATACAGTGGGTGAATGTACATCTAAGCCTCACCAATCCTCACCTGCAGGGTGTACTCTGACCTTTGCCCTCATGCCATGGCACACACAAGTGCACACAAACACACAATGCAAAAGAGCAAAAGAAAACCAGCCACTGAGTTCCCTGGTGCCAGCAGGAATTCACACATACTCACAAAGAAAGTGACTTATCTACTGATGAAAGCGAAAACCAACAAATTTAGTAAAAGAAGGTGGAGGGTCTAAGAAAGATAGGGGCCTGGTTTTTAAAAATGAAACCAATTAGCAAATATCATCTCTAAGAAAAACATTCCATTTTCCCTCTACATTTCAATCATACCAGACATGCCAGCATAACTGGTTCTCAAGGGGGGCCACAACACATTCATTCAATCATGGAATCAATCTTGTTGCGAAGAACAGTTTAAATTAATTAAAAATAGAAAACGACATGAAAGTAGTTGCTGGATAAGACAGGAAACACGGATACTATATAAATTCACATATTGTGATATTATTCATGACAGTCTCGCTGGAATGTGTGTTTCTTACTGTGGGTCTTAGATTTTGAAAAGAGCAATTATTAGTAAGGCATAAGGATGTAGTAGGCATTGTCTGAACTTATTCCTTTTTTTCTATCTTGCATAATGAACTTTATCATTTGCCTTTCCAGCATCTTGCACTGCTCAGTACAGTAAGAAATGACAACTACAAAATACTTTTACTCAGGGCCTGGATTTAAAGTCTGAAAACTTTAAACCATGTCTACTGGCTTCTCTTATATGGTCACTTTTTAAAATCAGAAACTAAACACTGCAAACTGGTCTGAAAGATTGGCTTCAAGGTTTCAGAAGGTAAATTAGTCTAAATCTAAGTCAAAATCACTTCCAGTTCTCCACCCCTCACGACCAAAAGCTTGAACATTATTCATCACTATTAAAGTTGATTCTGCTGAATTAAAACCCTAATGGTTATCAGAAAGGGCCCCAAGTGATGACAAATTAACCCCAAACCTGCAGCTCTATTCTATCAGGCATATCAGATTTTTCATCCAGCCGAATTCCTGGAGCACTGTTAATCCTTCCCTTGCTAGGTGTAAATTCATATTTTTGATATTCAGGTAGAAAAAAAAAATCACACAAAATCCTGTGCACCAATCCAAACACAGAGAACCGCACCTACCTGGAGATACAAACTGAGCAATGTCACAAAGGTGTGTCAAAAGTAAGCATAATTATAAACCATCTCCTCTCGCGAGCACCTCCCATTTCTGTGACTATGCAAAGCATTCACAGGGCAGGAATCACAGCAATTACAAGGGACACCAGTGGGGCTATGTGGCAGATTATAAAAGCTAAGCAAATAGCATCTGTGCTGTTTTGCAATAATAAAAGAATCTACCTAAAACAAAGTATATAAGAAACGTATGTCTACTTAGCCAAATAAAGTATACAGCAAACACTTCTGACTCTTCAAAGTCAAAGGTTTGAAAATTTAAATTTACTGAAATTCTTTTTTTTTTTCTTTTCGAGACATGGCTTTCTCTGTGCAACAGCACTGGCTGTCCTGGAACTCACTCTTTAGACCAGGCTGGCCTTAAAGGTATACACCACCACCACACAGCTAACTGGAAATTCTCATCCTGTCACCAAGTAGACCCACCCAGCACTGCCAATTACAGAAAGGAGGCTCTAATTCCTCCAGTCTATCCAGCCCATGCCTGTGGCACACATTCCAATCTTCGACTGTACAGTATGTACACTGATCTCAAACTAATCAATACATGCCGGAGGGTAAGAATCCTAACCTCTACTGCAATCACTTTAAATCCCACAGGATGTATCTTGCTTTCCGAACCTCCCATCACACAGGAGCGCCATCACCTCGCACTAGAATACAGGGTCTCTACCCAGCACCTAATTATACATGACCCCCCCCCTTCTAAGCAGCTCCTCTTCAGTTTGAAGTTCTCTGACCACAGTATTAATAGTAAAGAATTACTATTCTGTGAGTTAAAACATAGTTCAATTTCAGATACTAGCATTTCATATGGGTTTAACAGCACAGATACTGATCCCAGAATGTTGCTCATGGTCTACAAATTAGACAAAAACATACTAGCATGTGAGTGCGCGCCACGTTCCCCCACAGGCTCACTCTTTCTTGAAACAGCCGTGACATACACACAAGTTTATGCAGTTTCTTTCTGCTCTTCACGTACTAATTTCCATGTCTGCTTCCTGACAAATGTATCGGATTCTAGAAAGGCACTACAACAAAGCCCACAAAACGCGACCCAACCTCACGGAATATCCAAGTCTTGGCCCCAAATTAAAAAATAAATTCACAAGTAAACAAACAAACGTTTTCCCCACTTTGCCAGATGCTCTAACTGCACACTAAGACTTAGTAGTAAAGCCCAGAAACAAGCGTTTCTTGTGGCTTTACAGGACCTAGCTCGAAAAGGCACATCCTCAAGTAAGGTTATATTCCATGATTACTTAAGATGGAATACATTAGCCACTACTCCCTCAGAAGTCCATTGTTTAACTTGCGAACCGCGAAGGTCCGGTCTTCCTCACTCAAACCAAAAAATTCCAAAAGGGGTGCAAGGTAAGGGCGTCAGTATCAATGAGCCTCCGCCCCTTAGGAGAAAGATAAGACGTACAGGAAGACCGACAGACTTTTTGAGGGCCAGTTGTGCCTGCACTAATCTCGCATCCTCCTGGCCTACTAGAAGGGGGCATAACCTGCCGTTTCCTCGCGGATCCTGGCTTTGGGTCAAACTGCAACCTACATCGGGCCTTTCTCCATCACTTTAGAGATCCTGCCGCAAGGCAACGTTTGGGCGTGAACACTCGTACCCAAGGGCTCCATGAACATCTGCTCCCGCTGTCCCCCTCTCCCGCGTCTGACACTCGTTCTACCCGCATGGCCGTGACCGCCCGGCCAGCACATCTCCCCCAGGACAGGACCCACGGACGCCCCGCTGCAGCACCGGCCCGCAGGCCTAGCCGACCCACGGGTTCCCAGGCCGCCGCCCTGCCGCCGGGCCTCAAGAACGTCTCCTCGCGGTCCTCTCGGTCCCCAGCCGCCTCGTGGGCCGTGACGGAGCGCGAGCCGCGCCGGCCGCCAACACCGCGGCCAGTGGCCGGTGGATCCCCAGAGTCGGCCCGCTCACCTCCGGTTCTCAATGGAGGCCACCAAGCCGGCCCAGCCGCCGTCTCCAGCCAACGGAGCCTTGGGCGGAAGGAACGGCGTTTACGCACGCTCCGAGCCGCCAGGCGGCCGCCAATAAGCAAGGATCGTCCGATCGCCCAGCCAATCGCCGGGCAGCTGCTCGGCCTGACGGCCTACGTCACGAACGGTCGCCCTAACAACCGCCCACAGCTCGCACCCGGGCGGAGAACGGGCACCGCACCATCTCTCACCACGGCCGAGCCAACCAATAGCTGGTCGAGTCCCAGCATCGCGGCCTTCCTATTGGTCCCCGAGCCGTGGGGGCGCCGGCGAGGACGCCGCCCGCGCAGGCGGTATGGGATACCGGGGGTGGCGTGTCCCGGCCTCGGAGTCTGACCTGCGAGGGTCCTTCCTGTGGGGGGGGCCGAGGGAGGCCACCGTGTCAGAGTGGGGACGTGGGGGATGAGCGCGGGGCCTAGTTGAGAAGGAAAAGCCCTGTTAGCTTAGAGATCTGAGGAAAGTAGTAGAGCTCTGGAAAAGAAAAAGAGGAACTTAAAAAAGTGAAACGTGGCGTCGGGGTGCAACCCAACCCAACCCCTCTGTGACTTACCCTTCATTTCCAGTGGCTCCGACGATCTAGGTCTCCTGGCACACACCCTGGATTCTTGCTGAAGCGTCCCTCTCCCGTGTCCTCTCTGCATTCCCTCTGCTCTCCTGGCTGCAGGCTTTTATCATCTCTTACTGAAAACTGCAATAACCTATCCGAACTGGTCTTCCCACTCTTAGGCGCTTACATCTTCCAGCCAGTGCTTCTGGCGTTTCTGCTGCAGCAATCTTCCTCTTATGCCATAGACCGGATCCTAAATCATCAGCCTTTTTTTGCCTATGAAGAAGCTGACATTGCCAGTATGGCCCCACCCCGCATTTTGTCTCTTCACAGCTCTAGACCCGTGTTTCAGCCTGAAGTAACTAACTGGTCCTTCGAATGTATTGAATCTCTTGACACCCCTGTTTATGATCTTAGTTTAACCTGAATATACCTACCCACTTTAAATTTTGAAATCCTAATTATACCTCAAGGATCATTCATATGCCACCCCCTATCCTGATTCTCTCAAATGCGTGTCATCTCTCTCTCCTTCAAACGCCCATAGCATTTCTGTAATAGTCTATGACTTGTCTTAACTATTTTATGTGGAAATTTCTTAAGTAGAGCAATTGGTATGCAGCTGCTTTTTTTTTTACATATAAAAAGGTGTGTGTGCGCGCACACACATGAAGTGCAGTGCTCATGGAAGACAGAAGAGGGTGTGGGATCCTCTGGAACTGGGGTTATACAAACTGCTATGTAGTGATGCAGTGATGTGGGATTCCCCTTTGTATGCTGTGATTACCATTGGTGAATAAAGGAACTGCTTTGGGCCTATAGCAGAGCTATAGGGGAACAGAGCTAGGCAGGGAAAACTAAACTAAATGCTGGGAGAAAGGGGGTGGAGTCAGAGAGAAGCCAGGTAGCCCTGCTGGAGTCAGAGGGCATTTTACCCAGTAAGCCACAGCCACATGGCAATACACAGATTACTAGAAATGAGCTAAATTAAGAGAGAAGTGTTAACCAAGAAGAAGTTAAAGCTAATGGACCAAGCAGTGTTTTAAATAATATAGTTTCTGTGTGATTATTTCAGTTCTGGGCCAGGAGGAACAAGCAGCCCCCTGTAACAACGTAGGTGCTGGAAACTGAATGTAGATTCCCTGGATGAACAAAACATTGTTCTTAACTGACGAACCATCTCTTAGCCCCTTTAACTCACATTTTAAGACCCTATGTTTTATTTTTAAAAAAACTTTATACATTTTTATTGATATTTATTGAGCTCTACATTTTTCTCTGCTCCCCTCCCTGCCTTTCCCTTCCCCCACTTCAATCCTCCCCCAAGGTCCTCATGCTCCCAATTTACTCAGGAGATCTTGTCTTTTTATACTTTCTACTTCCCATGTAGATTAGATCTATGTACATCTCTCTTAGCGTCTACATTGTTGTCTAAGTTCTCTGGGATTGTGGTTGCAGGCTGGCTTTCTTTGCTTTTTGTTTAGAAACCACCTGTGAGTGAGTACATGTGATAACTGTCTTTTTGTGTCTGGGTTACCTCACTCAAAATGATGTTTTCTAGCTCCATCCATTTTCCTGCAAAATTCAAGCTGTCGTTATTTTTTTTTGCTGTGTAGTACTCCATTGTGAGAATGTCCCACATTTTCCTTATCCATTCTTTGAAGATCCTATATTTTAAAACACAGTATATACTAAAAAAGTAGCTCATTAGAGAGTCATAATTGTTATGAAGTAGGAGATTGCTCCCGTTTCACACAAAGAAAAGGTTAAGCAGCTTGAAGCAATTGGAAAACTAAGATTTTGTTCCACATCTAAAGCTCGAGCTGCTTTGGCTGCCTTCCTCTGCCCCAGTACAGAATCTTTGTATCTTTACCAGACACTCTGGAAAATGCATTCTCTACAGCAATGGTGCTTAGAGCTGTAAGCATAGCAATAAATATGACTCGTGCGGCGAGCTGGCCAAAGGGGGCAATCTGCTAGTAAGAATTTCTTATGGGAGATAGTAGTGCATGCCTTTAATCCCAGCACTTGGGAGGCAAGCAGATCTCTGTGAGTTCGAGGCCAGCCTGGTCTACAAGAGATAGTTCCAGGACAGGCCCCAAAGCTACAGAGAAACCCTGTGTTAGAACGCCAAAAAAAAAAAAAAATTCTTAAATGGGACTGGGGGAGAAAGAGAGGAAAGTCAAGAAAGAGGGCATAGGTAAGTTCAAGAACCTAAAACTCCTGTCATATTCTTTATGTTTTTAAAAGTCTGAAGGTCTAACTACAAATTGTTAGCAATACAAATTTAAAGTCAAATGTGGTGATGCATGCCTGTAATTCTAGCCCTGAGAAGTCAAGGAAAGGGGGTCCATGGGATTGAGGCCATCCTGGGCTACATAGGAAAATCATATGATTTTTTAAGATTCCCTGAAAGGATTACAAAGCTGTTGTAGCAAAAGACAAAATGAGGTTTGAAAACTTTGTTCCCAAATTTGAGAATGCCAATGGACATGTGAGCTCAAAACCAAACAAGGAGGAGCTATGGGTATATATAGTTCAGTGGTAGAGGTTTGTCCAGTATGTTTGATCCCTGGGTTTAACCCCAACACAGAAAAAAAATAATAAAATTTTGTCTCATTTTACATTCTTTAAACAACCCCACTCAGTACCATTTTCAGAATGTATTCCAAAAGAACTATTAGTTTGTCTAACTGATAATTAGTGCTTTACAAATTGAATTTTTGGCATGGGTTATGTCTCAAGATGATGAAGTATAACAATAGCAGCAACAATTATTATTTGTTTATAACAACAAATATTATATTGCTCTCTACTTATTTCTTTGTTTTTGAGACAGGGTCTCTGAAGCTCAGACCAACCTCTGTCTATGTAGCTGAGAATGGCCTAGAACTCAGTCTCTTGAGAAGGAGAAATTGACAGGCATGCTCCACCATGCTCTGTTCTCATTCTTTCATGCTCCATTCTCCCTGCTCCCACTGCCACCGCCTCTGCTACTGCTTGTTGTAAGTGCCTTCGCTGTACACATCCCTCAGTCAGCTGTCCTGTGAGAACGACATTAGCAGAATCCGCACTTTACAAGTGGCAAAACTTTAGGAAGAGGAAACCTAAGCAACCTGCCTGAGTTCTCACAGCAGAAATAGCAAAACTGAATGTGACCTCTGGAAGCTGGCTCCCAAACACACGCTGTGACCCACTGCACTCTGCTAGGTTACATAAGGTGTACTACTTTGTGCTAGTACATCTTGTATTGTATTGTTGCTTGTTCAAGCTTCTGATGCTCCACAGCAAGCGAGGCTTTGTGGAATCCTGGAGAGTTCTATTTATTTCCTGTCTTATGTCCCAGCTGCATTCTAGTTTATGTAGTCGAGTCTTGGGCAGGTTTCTCTCACTCTTTGTCCTGCATGGTACTATTTATTTTAAATGTCTTTGTAATTTTTTTCAAACAAGACATTGTAAGTAATATATAGTAATAATATCTATAGTATATAGTAGTAATATATATGTAGTAATATGTAACTGGTCACATTTTATTTTGATTAGATATTATAATAGATAGCTCCTGCTGAAGATCAAGAAAATATTTACCAAGTACTTATGAGATTAGATCTTCAAACTATAGAGTTTAAAAAGGAAACTTCTAACTGTGCATCCTGTGTCCTGGTATTGCGGTAAGTGTTCTATATAAGGTATGCATAGGGTTCCTGGAAAATCATTTGGGTTATGTTTTGGAAAGTGGGTAGGAAGTGGATTCAAAATAATTCCAGGTACTAAAAGCAAAATTATGAGCATAAGAGTGGAATGGCACAAATATGGGAAAAGAAAACCTGATTAGGCAGAAACCTTAAAGTATTTATATAAAGAGTGGTTTGGGGTGTGTGGTTTAGGGTAAAATGCTTGTTTATTACATGCGTGGCACAAAACCAGCCCTCTGCACTAGGAGAGGGAAGAGGGGGGTGCTATGGAAGACAAGAGATTTAAATGGTAAACAGGTCTAAGAGATAGCTCAACGCGTAAAGATGGCTGTTGCCAGGTCAGAACACGTGGGCTCAAGCTTCAGGATCCACGTGGTGGAAGGAGAGTACTGACTCTCACAAGTGCTGTGGTGTGAACACACACAAACACGTAAAAAGTAAGTGTAACTTAATAAAGAAATAAATGAGAGGCGAGGACGCCACACGAAAGTTGGCAGACACTCTCGTGTCCTCTGATCATGTCATTTCATTCTGTGTGTGAGCTAAGATTCTCCTCTATTGCTCTTCAGAGCAACATTAAACATTCGGCCCCTTGGCTTTTAAAATTTCCCCAACTGAAATCAATTGATGACACCTTTCTTTAAACTAAAAGAAAAAATAATTGGGGAGTGGTAGGGCGTGCCTGTAATCCCAGCACTCTGGGGTGAAGAGGCAGGAAGGTCAGAAGTTCAAGATTATCCACAGCTAGTTTGAGAGCAGCGTGGGCTACATGAGACCCTGCCTCGGAAAAGGAAAGGGGGAGAGGGACAGAAATTTGTACAGGAGAGTGCCCACAAAGACCTTGCTCTGCTGCCTTGCCCAGTGTCACTGGTCACTGCTTCCGTTTGCTTCCTCCCTCACCTTCCTTTAATCTTTGTAGAATGTGGGGAGCAGATACAAACTGTCTTGGATTTTTTTTTTTACTTGAAAGTAGGTGAGTTCAACATTTTGACACTGTGACATGAAGTTGTTATCTACAAAGAATTGTGCAATAAAATATAAAAACAAAAAATCCTGTAACATGAACTAAGTTTACAGTTTTATTTTGGGTGACATTCACAGCTATTTTGGAAATGCATGTAGCCTGAGGGATTAATTTTCCCCTAGACATTACTTATACAGCCTACAAATGGCGTGTGTAGGGTTGGATACGAACATCTGTTCCTGCACTTCTTTTGTTCTGTACTGTTTTTTGAAAAGGAACCCAGGCTGGTCTCAAACTCAAGATCCTCCTGCCTCAGCAGCCCCAGGGCTGGGGGTCTTAATGAATTTTAGCCAAGGTGAATAATTCACAGAGGAATTAATGAAATAAAAATCAAAGACAAAACAAGGGGAAACTAATTTCGACCCAAATATGATCAGCACTTCTCCCTTGGTAGCAGCTATGTCCCATTGTATGAGTGGAATGAATGGGACATTTAAAAGCTCTAACTGTCGGTTTCGCAAAGAGCCAAGTCCCTTCCTTTTAACCTTCATCCTTTCTAACCCAGCCTCTCTCCCTCTGGCTCAGCCAGGTTCCCAGCTTCATAAAAGCTCCTGATAGAATAATCAGTTAGGAGACCGGGAAGAAATAGGGGCTCACAGACTTCAGAAAGCATTACAAAGAACTAGATATGATCTTGCCAAGCAGAAGTGAAAGAAGGCAGAGTCATAACGGTCCAAGGAGACCTGCCTCGGGTTTTCCTGAGCAACTGCACCAAGAGAGAGGTTGAAGAGCAATTGCTTAGGGCAATACATCGGTGAAAAAAATGTTTTAATACAGAATTGCTGTAGCTACAGGTAACTACCAAGTGTACAAGGCCTTATTGGTATCAATTGCAAATTGTAAGGAATTCGGCTACACAGAAACAGAGAAACCCAAATAAAAGTAGCAGAAGCCAAGTGAGCATGGACTGCTTTCTGGGTAAGAGATAAGCTGATCTCAGCTGGGCAGCTCTGGGTACTCCTTCCTAGCCCCTCTTCTGCATTCAGCACGAGTGGATTCTCCATGGGCTGCTGGACTCTAATAGTAAAGCTGGTAAGAAAAGGCAAGAGATCAGCTCTGGGGCAGGTGATCATGGAGTCACAAACAGTAATGTGTCACCACCAGAGGTCACCCCGAGCTACTGGGTGGCAGCTAAAGCTCCAGCCTTCTTTACCGTGTGCATTTCAGCCTTCTTGTAGGAAGGAAAAGAAAAGCAAACAGAGCACTCTGGGGCCTTGCCCCCCCCCCCCCCCCGAGTCAGCTCCTTTTCAGTTTACACTTCAGTGATCTGAGCTACATTTAACAACAAGGAAGCTGTGGGAAGGGAGGAATAATATTCGGATAGTCCATTTCTATATCTCCCATGATATCCTCACAGTGACTTCAATAGAGTCACTGATCACCACAGTAAGAAGCATGAAACAATTTTACTCTCAAGATTTGAGACACGTTAAAAAAGAAAGCGAGAGATAAATCTAATATCAAAGAACTTTATAAGGTCTAGTCTGAAATCTCCTTAATGTCTAAAATTGACTTCAAGCTAAGTATACTAAAAATGTATACTTACATTTACATTACATTGCACTTGGTCCAACATGAGAAAGCCATCCAAGAAACTAATAAAATGCGCCCACCGTTAAGCATGGAATGAAAGGCATCGCTGTTCCAATCCATTGGGCCCCTGTGTTTATCAGGTGAATGTGTGACAGAAACTTTTCATCCAAGGTGTAAGTTTTAATTACTGTATGATAGAGATTCCTTCCTTTTACTAATACTGGGTTCTCGATGCTAATGTGATCCTGACCCACGAGCTGCCTGCAGTCTGAACGGGCTTCCATCTGTGAGGTTTTCCTCCAAGGGAAACCAGTTCTTTACACACCAGTCTCTCCAAGCTGACTGAACTGAAGCTGCAGGTTCTGATGCTCCCAGAGCCTGTGCCTTTGCAGCCTCGTAGGCACTGCCGAGTGCTCTCATCCCTAGACATCTTATTCGCCTCCCCCCACCCCCCACCCCCACCACGCAATGCCCTTTTCAGACTTGGTCACTTTTGCTACTTCAGTGGGAGGGTGTTGCAAGCTGTTTTTTGAAAAATAACCCAGTTGCTCCATAGCACTAAAAAAGCTAGCTTTACCCTTCTTGTGGAAATAAAAGAGTTATTTATCAGGGCACGGTGGAGGTGATCCGATGTCATAATATCATTGTCCCTGGACAGCACCCATCAAATTTTACAGGACCGAGTTCCTTTTTTCCCCCTTTTAAAGTGAAAAAAAGTCATTTTTTTTAAATTTTGTGGTAGCACTTCCATAATTTGTAGGCTACTATACCTAATAAAATGAAAAAAGACAACAGACAAAAGGAATGGACATCTAATTTATACTACAATTGCATTAGACAGTAGCTGAACTTTAAATTTTTTTTTAAGATTTATTTATTTATTATGTACACAGTGTTCTGTCTGCATGCATGCACACCAGAAGAGGGCACCAGATCTCATTACAGATGGTTGTGAGCCACCATTTGGTTGCTGGGAATTGAACTCTGAAAGAACAGCCAGTGCTCTTAGTCACTGACTCATCTCTCAAGCTTATAACTGAACCTTTTGCAGACTGTGGATGGGACAGTCCTGAGCAAGGAGAGTTTGCTGTTTTAAGTGACAGTAACTTTTCTATGACGCATGATTTCTTCTGCAGCAAACTTAACTTTGGGAGGACTGCCTCCGAGTGACCCGGACTTCTCCTGGGAACCCCTCCTCCCCTGCTGCACACCGCAGACCTTTTCCGATAGTTTAAAAACCCTTTGCTGCAAATCCACCACACGAGCCACCAGATCCATAGCCACTACCTAGGGGACGGCTTAAGTGTTCTCTACCGCCATTGCTCCCTTGCTGAGCCCATTATCTGATTTCTACTGTCCACTCTCATCCCCAAATGCAGTGTAGCCACCGCCACCACCAAGACGTCCTCCTTTATTGTAACTGTCACACCTTCCTCTTCTCCCATGCCCTAGCTTCCATATCCTGGACCACTACAACCATAGACAACCTCCTCTACCTCTGTAACGAGGACCACCAACATCGTTTCCTTTATCACCTCCCAAATAGTGTGTCATCATCTCCCTCCATAGATGCCTCTGTTGCCGACATCTTCACCAGCAGAGTCTGCTCTTTGACCAAAGTTTCCACCCCAGCCAAAATGAACTCCACCACCCATTACATTGCCAAATCTACCCCCATGACCTACTTGTGATCCAGGATGCCGCACTTCTTGTTCAGAAAGGTTCCTCTCACCTTGCGGTTATGCTCGTGAGTGGTGTGATATTGCTAAACAATTTTATCAATTGGTTCTTGATTATTAAAACTTATAAAAGGACATTCTTTCCTTTTTCCATTCCTTTTGCCTGTCTTTCATGACTTGTATGGTTTCAATCTTACCATACATTCCAAAGTAGTTTCTCAAATAATGTTCTTCTATATCTATCTCTTTTACTACCACGACTGAGTTTTCTTCCCTATTAGATGGTATCTTGGTTAAGGCTTCTGTTACTGCGACAATACACCATGACCAAAAAGCAATTTGGGTCCAAAGGGTTTATTCAGTTTATACTTACCCAATGCTTTTCATCTCCAAAGAAAGTCAAGGCTGAACTCAATCAGGGCAGGAACCTGGAGACAGGAGCTCACGCCGAGGCCGTGGAAGAAGCTGCTTACAGACTTGCTTAGCTCACGTTCTTGTAGAAGCCAGGACCACCAGCTCAGGGGTGGCACCACCCACAGTTTCCCTCCCACATTGATCACTAATTAAGAAAAGGCCTTACAGCTGAATCTTATGAAGGCATCTCCTCAACTGAGGCTCTTTCCTCTCTGGTGACTCTAGCTTGTGTCCAGCTGACATAAAACCAGCCAGTACAGATGGGCACCGAGCTTAACAGAATCTCTCTAGAAGCAATTCTAGCTGGTTCAGATACCCACCAGTCT